TGCAGCTGGAAGCAGGCCCCTCCCCCTGTGGGTGAGAGACTGGTTTTCTCTTCCTGCCTGAGCCTTCAGGCTTTTTGAAATGGAAAAAAAAAGTATCAGTTCCAATGAAGAATGCTAAACTCTTGCCATGAAGAAGGCTGAAGTTTGGGAACTAGAAATCCTGGGTCTCATTTGAGATTCTTTACCATTCAAATTTTTGCCCTTGAAAAACACACTTATATTTCTGAGCCTTGAGTTTCTTCTCTGTAGCAGAGCTGAGGATACTAGCTTGTCATTGGCTCTGAAAGCTTAGGCGACCTAGGAGGTGAATTCATCTTTATGAATGAAGAGAAGCAAAACAAAGATGGATATAGATACAGTTCAAGGTCTTGAACTGTATTGACGCACTGTTTTGTTTATTGGGCTAGTAAAGAAAAAGAGGCCCAGGGAGTTGAATTTACCATGTGAGGGAAAGAGAATCAAAGCTACTTTCAGGCCAATGTCCTAATCCAGGACCCAGGTGAAAACACAGAATGTTGGCAGTGAGTCCTGGTTTCATCGCCGTAGTCCCACACCGGCCACCTTCTCCCACTAAAGGTCCTGCTCTTACGGTGGAAGTGGGCTCAGAACACCATTCGGCATGGTGGGGGCAGGGACCTGACTCCTGGGGGGGCAAAGAGGATGGTCATCATTTGAGTGAGCAGTAGGTACTCCCAGAGTGCAGTTACAAACTAGTTGCAGAACTTATTATGCTACTTCTGAGCTAAACATTTCAGCACATGTCCCTGGGGAATAGGAGTTTTCTGTTTAACCTGAGTAGCATGGTCAGAGCTACATTAACAGTAATTAATTGTCGTTTAGTTGCTCAGTCGTGTCTGACACTTTGCGGCCCCGTGGACTATAGCCTGCCAGGCTTCTCAGTCCATGGGATTTCCCATAGCATCTAATGTTTAGCTCATTTTCAAATTTTCCCAATTATCTCCAAAATCTCCTTTAGAGTTCCTTTCTTTTTAAAAGCTATGATCCAGGCAAGATTTGATGCCTTGCATTCATCCAGTTCTTCTTTCCTCACTTTTTTAAATCACAAAATTAATCTAGATGCTGTCTAGCACTCTGTCAAAATGTTCTGTTTTCATCCTAGTTTTTCTGAAGGCTGGCCACTCCCCAGGGCTTCTAATGAGACAAGGTGTAGAATGCAGGCCCTTTAACCTTCTGCCTGGCTTCCCCTCTGTCCTCATGGCCTGCCTGCTCTGAAGATAAGCAGATACTCTCAGTAAATTTTCCTTCAACATCAAACAAGAATCTTCAATGAGTCCTCACCCATTCATTCACTCAAGAAATATTGGTAGAAAGCCACAATGTCCATGACGTTATTCTAGATACTTGGTATGCAGAAGCAAAACCTACTCAACCAACCAAGAAAATCAGACTGAAATGCCCTCTCCCATGGAGTTTACATCCAAAAGGAGGTGAGCCATAAACAAAATGAAGACAGAGCAGATAGTGAGTTTGAGGAAGGACCCAAGTTGAAAGAGCGATGGTCAGGGCCCCACCATTTGAACAGAGAACAGACAGAAATAAAGAGTGAGCCATGAGGAAGAGAATTTCCAGGCAGAGGGACCTACATGCTCAACTGTGTCTCAAAGTGGAAAGGCGGCCCGTGCAGCCAGTGTGTGTGTGGGGGTGGGGGTGGGGTTGGGGGGGTTAGAAGAGGATGTCGTGTGGCCTGATGCTCATCTGGTATTTAGAGCTCCAGTGTGGGCTTGGCTAGCCACAATCCACAGTAGGCGGACAATAAATGCTTCATTTTAACTACGTTTATTACAGTAACGATGAGACAAATTGGAATTGGAAGAATTATTCAGAAATTAGTTCCACCTCAAGGTCATTTCCTAATTAAATGAATCTAGCAATTTTTCAGGTATGAACACATAAGATTTTTAAGATGGTAAAGTGTGGGGGAAAACTGTATCTTTCAAAAACAGTGAAATATAGTCATTTGAGTACCTTTTCCTCTCTGCCTCTTTATGCTTGCTCATGTTCTTACATAGCCTAGTTATCGACCCTGAGGTTAAACTGCCTGGGTTTAGACTCCAGCCATCCCACTTTCCAGCTGTGTGGTCTTCAGAGAGGTACTGAACCTCTCTGTGCTTCACTTTACTCATTGATGAATTTGTCTGAATAATAGTACCTGTTTCATAAGGTCATTGTGAGGATTTAGTGAATTAATATACATAAAGTGCTTAGAACAGTGCCTGGCACAGGGTAAATAAGTAAGCCCTGTTAAGTGTTGTTATTATTAAATCCTTAGAACGTCTTTGAGCTATTTCCGGATTTTGAAATTGAAACAAGAATCAACAGAAACATAGCTAACACAGGTCAAGGCAGGGACCTGAAGCTCAATTTTTTTGGAGGCAACTCTGCTGTTCTCTTCAGCTTCCCTACCTAGGGAGGCTGAGTTTCAGTACCCGTGACTTTGTTTTTCCAAGCGTAACTCAAAATTCTGGGCACTGGGGACAAACTCTTGTGCGTCACACTGTTTGTGCCCCAGTCCATGATCTCTGTCCAGGTGCTCCATTGTGTTTTACAACCCACTAGCCTGTCACCTTGAGCGTTTCTACTCTGGTGAACACAAGAATGTGGAAGGACAGAGCGAGCCCCTTCTGGGGCTCAGCGGGGTTCCCTGAGAATGGATCTCGGCAGCCACAAAGCTCTGGGCCTCCTTTCTTTTTTTTTTCATTTATTTTTATTAGTTGGAAGCTAATTACTTCACAATGGGCCCCCTTTCTTGAAGGGAGTAATGCTTGTGACTCCTTCCTGCAAGGAGCCCAACGCCCAGGCCAAGCGCTGAGTCGCAGACACAGATGCTCAGGCTAGAGGGGCCGGTCCAGCTCTTCCTCCTGCCCTTAGTGACTTTCAAGAAACTCTGACGGCACGATCTTCTCCCATCACCAGAGACGTCATATGGAAGAAGCAAAGTCATCTCATGAAATGCCACATGAAGACAAGATTTAGTTGATGCATTCATTCATTTGTTCGTGGTCTATCCTAGGTAGCTCTCTACCAGGACTTGGGTGGGCATCACAGAATCATCTCCCCTCCATCCCACCTCCCCATGAATACCATGAAGCCCCTAAGTATAATCCCAAAGTCATCTAGATGTCTAAGGATGAAAGGAGCAGAATGAATGACTCTTGTGATATGATTGTGATATGTGTAATAATAAGTACATGTTTGGTCTTCATCTCCAGGTCTGGCACAGAGCTCCTACAACTCTTGAAATGTCCTAAGTGGTAGGAGCTCTAAGGATGCCTTTTGTTGCTGAAGGAAGTGACTTTTGGAAGCTAGGTAACGAAAGAGGAGGGCTGGCTGCCAGAGGCCCAACCACAGGACTAGAGAGAGGACCTTTGAGTGTCACCCCGGACCTCTGGTGAGAAGGGTAAGAAGTCAAATCAATAGTCAACAGCCAATGATTTAACCAGTCATGCTATGTAGTGAAGCTTGCATTAAAATTCCAAAGGATGGCGTTCAAAGAGTATCTGGGCTGTGCACATGTTAGAGGTTTGGGAAGAGTGGCCGGGTGGAAGAAGACACGGATGCTCTATGCCCTTTTCCCACACCTTGCCCTGTAGATAGCCTCCTTCTGTCAGACTGTTCCTGAGCTATATCTTTTTTTTTTTGTTTTTTATAAGAAACAGGTATCTAGTAAGTAAAATGTTTCTGAGTTCCATGAACCGATCTAGTAAATTAATGCCACCCAAGGAGTGGCTTCTGTGAACCTCTGATTGCTCAGAAGCACAGATGACAATCTGGACTTGCAACTGGGGTGTGAAGTGAGGTGGAGGGTGCGTCTTGTGGGACTGAGCCCTTAATCTGTGGGATCTGATGCTGTCTCCAGGTCGATAGGGTTAGAACTGGTTAGCACACCCAGCTGGTGACCGAGAATCGCTTGGTGGTGTGCAAAACACACGTTGTGATTGGCGGCCCAGTCTTAACCACATACTCCGGAAAATTTCAAATGCACCCCAGTTTGGTGATCTCTGCTGTAATTTCCTTGAAGGCCAAGGCCTGTATGGACTAGTTTACAACACACATCCTGGTGTGGAATCCTTGAAATAGAAACTTGGCAGGAAATTCAGAGCTACTTACAGAATCGTTGTAACAATGCTCCTTCTCTTTCCATTTCATTTTAGATCCTGTCTTGGGCTGAGAAGTTAGGGTGCAGGTTCTGGGTGTGGTTCCCTCTTTTGTGCCCTCCTTGAGCGTGTCTCCTAGACCCCACTCTGCTGGAGAGTTCTCCATTTTGTGTAGGTCATCACTTCCCCTTCTCTCCTTGCTCCCTGCCCCATGGTCTTTCCCTGTTGCTTAGGGAGGTATTCACAGACATTGACCTCCAACCCTGGGTCTCCCCTGAGTTCTCTCCACCAGCACCTCTCAACAAAACTTTCTCCACTCTTATTTCCTTTTCTACCCCCACTTCCTGGCGCACTTAGGTCTCAGTAGAATCAACCCAAGAATTACTCTGAATTAAAAGGACGTTAAGGGACTTCCCTGGTGGTCCAGTGGTTAAGCCTCCACGCTTCCAATGCAAGGGGCACGGGTTCGATCCCTGGTCAGGGAACCAAGATCCCACATGCCTCATGGCGTGGCCAAAAAAAAAAAAAACCCAAAACTTAAAAAATAAACAAAAACTAAAATAAATAAATAAAACAATGTTCAATGGAAAGAAGTTTTAAAAAGTCAAGTTAGTTCATTTACTTTCTGTCCTGGCTGCAGCTACTTTCATTTCACTCTTTTCAAGTCGGGCAAAGAATGGAATCGGTACTTAGTTTATTTTCTATTCTGGAGCCACTGACTCCAGAATCCGCTGAGTCAGATGCCAGACCAGTTCTTTGGTCAGTGGCTTTGTGGTCAGAGCTGCAGCCCCGAGGCATGTCGGGCCGTCCCCTCGTGCCTCTCCTGCCCTAGTCCCAGCCTGCTCTCCCTTAGCACCTCCTGCGGTCCAAGTGTCAGACTGGGGGATGACTGTGGTTAGCACCCACATCCGGTGCAGGAGCGCTTCTGCAGCGCCCCGATCCTGGCCTGGCAGCGGGCCCGAGCACAGAGAGCGACGTTGCCCACTGCTTGTGCCACGCGAAGAGCGAGGCCTCAAGGAGCTCATGATGGCGCTGAAGAGACATGGCTTTAGAATGACTGCCTCTGTTGCGATCACGTGCATGTCCCCACAGTGGACTGTAGACGTAGGACTCTGGTCAGAGCAGAAGTGTCAGACCTGGTCCCAGCCAGCCTCCTGTGGGAGGGGGACTTCAGAAAGCTGGACCTGGGCTTGGGCCAGAATACAGAGGTCCCAGCCTACCTCAGCGGCCAAGCTGAGAAGGCCGTCTTTAATTCAGCCAGCCACAGGGAACCAGCAGGCCCAAGGTGGTATTTAGGAAACAGTATCTGCTAATTTGGGGAACAGAGGGGTTGGGGGAGGCACACAAGGCTGAGAGCCAGGCTGTGAGGCACAGGGGATTGTGGGGGGCACAGAGGATTGTGGGAGGCACAGAGGATCGTGGGAGGCACAGAGGATCGTGGGAGGCACAGAGGATCATGGGAGGCACAGAGGGATTGGGGGAGGCACACAAGGCTGAGAGCCAGGCTGTGAGGCACAGGGGATTGTGGGGGGCACAGAGGATCGTGGGAGGCACAGAGGATCGTGGGAGGCACAGAGGATCATGGGAGGCACAGAGGCATTGGGGGAGGCACACAAGGCTGAGATCCAGGCTGCGGGGCACAGAGGATTGTGGGGGGGGCACCAAGGATCATGGGAGGCACAGAGGCATTGGGGGAGGCACACAAGGCTGAGAGCCAGGCTGTGAGGCACAGAGGATCGTGGGAGGCACAGAGGATCATGGGAGGCACAGAGGATCGTGGGAGGCACAGAGGATCATGGGAGGCACAGAGGATTGTGGGAGGCACCAAGGATCATGGGAGGCACAGAGGCATTGGGGGAGGCACACAAGGCTGAGATCCAGGCTGGGGGGCACAGAGGACTGTGGGGGGGCACCAAGGATCATGGGAGGCTCACATAGCTGAGTTCTGGGCTGGAGGCACAAGGGATCCTGGGAGTTGCCCAGGACCGAGCACCCACTGTGGGCGCAGGAGATGGTGAGAGAGTGTGGGCTGGCTCTGCTAGTTGCTTGGTGTGCAGGTGCGAAGCGGAGAGAGGAAGCAGTTCCAAGGAGCAGGGGTAAAACAGCAGTAGTGGGACTAGTCAGGAGGGGACAGCTCCGGTCAGGGGTCTTCATTCAGAGAGATGTACTGCGGGTAGTGCTTAAGAGCAGGGGATTTTGTAGCCAGAGAACCTGAAGCTTGAATCCTGTTCCTGCACTTGTTGGGTGAACTTGAACCTAAATTTGCTATTCTCTAAAATTCAGAAAATAACACCTACCTTCCCAGACTACGGTGAGGATTAAATGCGCGTGTGTCTGAGTCGTGTCTGACTCTTTTGCGACCTCACGGACTGTAACCTGCCAGACTCCTCCGTCCATGGAATTTTCTAGACAAGGATACTGGACTGGGTTGCCATTTCCTTCTCCAGAGGATCTTCCTGACTCAGGGATTGAATCCGCATCTCCTGCATTGGCAGGATTCTTTACCACTGAGCCCCCTAGGAAGCCCAAGGATTAAGTGAGATGATGTCTATAAAGTACTTAGGACAGTGGCTGGCACGTAGTAAGCACTCAATAAGCATTATTATTTCTGTTGTTAGGCAGATATGATAGAGAAAATATTGAGAGAAAAGACATTCAACTGGCTGTTGGTAGGGGCATGAGATGGTTTATCCTGGGAGACCACAGGTCCAGTCCTTCATGGCTCCTGCTTTCTTTGTATCTGGGACCATAGACTCCAGTGGCTATGAATTCCCTTCCTTGCTTTGCTGGGGAAGAAGGATCCTTAGGTCAGAGGTTTGGGGCCAGCTCAGAGGGCAAATCTGGCCATTGGTCTGAGCCCCAAGGATTCCCTCTGCCTGAGGCTCCCAAGTGACCAGGGCAAGTTCCAGATAACAGATAAAATGCAAATTAAGGGGTGGCATGATCCCTGTCTGTCCGTCCCCTCTCGCCCACAACCATTCCTTCTCCTCTTGCTCAGATAGCTGCTTTGGCCCTGGGGAGGGAAGGGAGAGCTCCAGGCACCATGTGGCGCCTCTGGGGAGGGAAGGGAGAGCTCCAGGCACCGTGTGGCGCCTCCTCCACCTCTCCCTGCCTTTGGCTTTAGCTGCCGAGAGCCCAGCCTGGGTTGGACCAGAACCAAAAGGATGGACAAGGCAGCCAGAGTCCCCAGATGGCGGCTGGACTCCCTACCCTAGCTCTGCCTCAGCCCTCCCTGTCCCTGGTTCACAGGCCCAGAAATAAGTTGTCTTAGGTTGCTTTCCTTGGCTTGTCATCGGCAATCCTTCTGTACATTTCTCAGAAACAAAATACATCCCTTCATCTACTTGTGAGTCTCTTTCTCTCTGGTTCTATAAGGGACATGCTGTTCTGCAAGACAATATAGAACTGTGATTATTTCTCCAAGACAAAAAAGAAAATTTGTTTCACTAAAATCTAATTTAGTTCCCTCTACTTTGTTTTCAAGCTTCTGCAGAAAATAACTTTGTTTCAATGCTGAATCATAGTGTAATCTTGGAAGACATTTTCAATGGCAAACTCAAAATATGTTGTACCAACAGTGCAGATAACGCAGTGAGCTGACACCATGCCCAGCAATCACTGAGTTCTCATCGATGACAGTTACATCGTCTGCTGGCTGCCCAACAGCACTGATAATGGCAGTAAATCCTACAGGCATCCTAATTTCAGAGATGCTGAAACATGAGGGGGAAGGTACACTTTAATAGACAAGACAGTTGTTTTGCAAAAATGTGAAAATTTAGCAGCTTGTATTTCTCATTTAATATTCTACCCTCAACATACTTCCATGTCAATATCTGTATCAGCACTCTTAATAATTTTGGATACCATTTTCTTTCCTTGTGTTCCATTGACTGAACTTATTCACCAAAACTGTGTTTTGAAGTAAGGTGGGTGTTTCCTTTTTTATTCAGAATTGTTGATAATGATGCAAAGACCACATTTAAAGATAAATAATTGCACACATCCTCTGTAATTTCTAAGACTTTGATACTTAATGCCTGATTAACTTTTTAGTTTGATACCAAGAAAAATGAGCAAAAATATTTCTTGTCTATGAGATTTACAGTGTTACAAGGTGACCTTTATGTATTTCTACACTAGTTTCTATGTTAGGAAGTCATTGCTGCAACTCAGCTAATACCTCCTCGAGACCAAGAATATCACAAATCTTGTTATATCTATCAAGAAGCTGTCTCTCCTCTATTAGACTTATCAGATTTAGCAACTAAAAACACAGAATAGCCAGTTAAATTTTAACTTCAAATATACATATCTTTAGGGTAAGTATGCCCCATGCAATATTTGGGGCTTTCTTATACTAAAAATTATTCATTGTTTATCTGAAATGTGAGCTTAACTAGGGATGCTATATTTTATGCAGCAGCCCTATCTGAATGTATCCCAGGAGCCTTAGGATCCTGCATTATTTAATCCACTGACCGGGCTCAGTTCTTTTCGGAGGTCGAAGGTAAGCGTCCTTAGAGAAATGGGGAAGGACCAGTAGACTCAGAGTACCAAGGAAGAGATTTTCGTCCAGCTCAGCCCTTCCCACTGTGTTAGCTTTGTCTCCCAGGGCTTCCATTTTCCTATATAAAAATATTAAGAACAGTGTTATCAGTCTCCCTGGGTTGCTGTGTGAAACAGCAGTGGGCTGATTTCCATGAAAAGGTTTACAAACTCCAAAACATTACCAGCTAAAACTCATGGGGTAAAGTGCTATGAAGCCAGAGCTTTAGAAATACTGACTTTCCCCCAGGTCTGTGCTTCTGTGGTCTTGTCTACCAGTATCTGTGCAGCTCACCCTCATTAACCCTTCCCCTCCACACACACAAAGCTGCCCTGCAGGCCATCCGAAAAGTCCCAGCTACTCTCAGAGGTGGTTTAGCTGAAGGCACACAGAAGACCAAGGGCCGTGGGGTAAGTCCTCTTCCCCAAAAGCTTAGGAAAAGCATTCAAATAGATTCTTGTGTTTCAAGGGCAGGACTTTAATTAGACCAGATTTTATGGGATGGCTTATTCAATAAGGACTGTATAAAGGACATTTGAAAATAATCAATAACCCAGACAACAGTTTGAAACCAGGGGAAAAAAATCAATTAAATTAACCTCAAGCGTATTGGTATTTTGGCTGAACTTGTGAATTGGGGAAGGTCTCAGCTAGGACTGTCAAAAGGAAGGTCAACGTTCTGCGTCTTGTTGAACTGACATCTCAACAGGCACCAGATGAATCTCGAGGACGGACGGCAGCGACTGTCTAGCTCTCCCCTTGTGGCTCAGATGGTAAAGAATCTGCCTGCATTTCTTCCGAGTTGTCCCTTTTATTGGCATAGAGCTGCTGGTAGTAGTCTCATGATCCTTTGTATTTCAGTGTTAACAGTGTGGAGATTTCTTAAAAAACTGGAAATAGAACTGCCATATGACCCAGCAATCCCACTTCTGGGCATACACACCGAGGAAACCAGATCTGAAAGAGACACGTGCACCCCAATGTTCATCGCAGCACTGTGTATAATAGCCAGGACATGGAAGCAACCTAGATGCCCATCAGCAGAGGAATGGATAAGGAAGCTGTGGTACATATACACCATGGAATATTACTCAGCCATTAAAAAGAATTCATTTGAATCAGTTCGTTCTAATGAGATGGATGAAACTGGAGCCCATTATACAGAGTGAAGTAAGCCAGAAAGATAAAGACCAAGACAGTATACTAACACATATATATGGAATTTAGAAAGATGGTAACGATAACCCTATATGCAAAACAGAAAAAGAGATACAGATGTATAGAACAGACTTTTGGACTCTGTGGGAGAAGGCGAGGGTGGGATGTTTCAAGAGAACAGCATCGAAAACATGTATATTATCTAGGGTGAAACAGATTACCAGCCCAGGTTGGATGCATGAGACAAGTGCTCGGACCTGGTGCACTGGGAAGACCCAGAGGAATCGGGTGGAGAGGGAGGTGGGAGGGGGGATCAGGATGGGGAACACATGTATATCCATGGCTGATTCGTGTCAATGTATGACAAAAGCCACTACAATACTGTGGAGTAATTGGCCTCCAGCTAATAAAAAAAAAAAAAAAGAATCTGCCTGCAATGCGAGAGACCCAGGTTTGATCCCTCGGTCAGGAAGATCCCTTGGAGAAGGAGATGGCAATCCACTCCAGTATTTTTGCCTAGAAAATTCCATGGACAGAGGAGCCTGGTGGGCTACAGTCCATGGGGTCGCAAAGAGTTGGACACAAGTGA